AAAAACTGAACACTCATATATTATTTACAATAGCAATTTTTAAATATAAAAACATATTTTGGTTAAAGATAAAAGAATGAAAAAGAACATATTGTATAAATACTAATTAAAAGAAATTTGGTAAGGTTACATTAATACCAGGAGATGTAAACTTTAAGACAAGAAATATTACCAGAGGTAATGATAAGAGGATCAATTCCTCTCAAAGATATGACATTCACAAACAGGTATGTAAATAATAATAGAGCTTCAAACCCATGGGGAAAAAAAATGGCACACAAAGGAGAGAAATTTACAAAGCCACATATATAGTTGAAGAATTTAATATTAACCAATAGCCAATAAGTTTATACTAAAATTAAAATAATATTACAGCAGAACAAAACTCAATGATTAAGACTACTTGTAAGAAAAATTGCATCTTTGAGTAATCAATACTGAAAATAGAAAAAAGAAATAGTAAGACACAGGAAAGATTTTAATATGATAAACTGACTTGATGAAACTTTACTTTTATAGAAAACTACATAGAATTGCTGAACAAATATTCATTCTTTTTAAGTGGATGTGGATATGTACCAAGATAAATCATATACTGGATCCTTAAAGAAGCCATTGCATTTTATGGAATTCTCCCTTTCTCTTGATAGACATTATTAGAAAATCAAAAGGAAAAGGTCTCAAAATATGTCACTGTTTGACAGTTAGGAATATATTTGTGATTTTAAAGAAAGCAGAATTGGTGGCACTGTGAAAGTCGGAAGCCATGTTATCATGCACCAAAGCATGAAAGAAAGGTGAAGGTGAGGGGAACACCCAGAAGGTGGATTCTCCCAGGGGGTTTGACAGAGGGAGGGACATCATATGTGCAGTAAAGTAAGAGAGAAAATGAGGTATTTTTGTTTTAAAATATGAGAGAGGAGCAAATACGGTTTTTTTTTTAATTTTTTATTGTGGGTTGTTCAAAACATTACAAATTTCTTGACATATCATATTCCACACTTTGATTCAAGTGGGTTATGAACTCCCACCTTCACCCCATACACAGATTGCAGAATCACATCAGTTACACATCCATACACAGATTGCAGAATCACATCAGTTACACATCCATTGATTTACATATTGCCATACTAGCAAATACGGTTTTTAAAGGAAGAGGAGGAAAGAGAAAAAAATGAAAAAAAGAATAGTCTATGGAGAAAAGTCCTGGAGAATTCAGAGTGGTAGGAAATCAAGAGCAGTTTTGGTGATCACCCTTTTCATTTTGAGACATGGTCTGTCTAATTTGCTTAGGGCCTCAATAAATTGCTGAGGCTGGCTTTGAATTTTTGATCCTCCTGCTTCAACCTCCAGAGCCACTGGGATTACAGGTGTGCACCACCGTACTCAGCTGTGACAAGAAATTTTTAAATGTTTTAAATCATATCCACATAAAACTGCTTTACTTTTATTTAGAAATGTTTGCTCCCCACCCCTTTTCTTTTTGGAGGAGTGGGGAAGGTACAGAGGAGAGGCAGAAGAGGCAGGAAGTTGAAGGGATTAATTTCCAATGGTCTTCTTTTTCTTAAGAAAAAAGAAAGTAATGCTCCCTACTAAGAATTTGGGGCAACAAATGAGACAAAATATTTAAGTAAAGCAATAGTACTTTGAAATAGCTGCTATAAGGAAAAAGCCAGGAAATTACAACATCAGCCCCAGACAGAATTTTTCTTTTTCTTTCCCTCATTTGATCATAACTTTTAAAAAGCTCTTCAATTTAAAAAACCCTAAAACAAAATTTGACAAACTTAATGAACAAGCATTCTCAGAAAAAGAAACCTCACAGTATATACAAAAGGATCTCCTCCACTCTAGCAATCAGATAAATATAAATTCAGACAATGAAATATTATGCTATATCCCATTAGATCAGGAAAAAAAGTTATATGTCCCTGAGAATGTGGATAAACTAGAATTTTTATATCCTGCCAGTGGTCATTTAAATTAACTTAACTAATGAAAAAATGTTCAACATCTCTAGCAATCAGGGAAATCCAAATCAAAACTACACTAAGATTTCATATCCCTCCAGTTGGAATGGAAATGATCAAGTATACAAGCAACAATAAATGCTGGCAAGGTTGTGGGGGAGAAGGTACACTTGTAAATTCTCCATGGGACTGCAGACTAGTACAACCACCCTGGAAAACAGTACAGAGTTTCCTCAAAAAACTAGGGAAAGTATACCACCATATGACTCAGCTGTTCTATTCCTTGATGTTTCCCCAGAAGATCTAAAATCAGTATATTATAGTGATACAGCCACCTTAATGTTATAACAGCACAATTCACAATAGCTAAATTTTGGAATTAACCCAGATGCCTGTCAATAGATGAATAGACTAAGAAAGTCACACACATACACACACACACACACACACACAATGGAGTTCTACTCAGCCATAAAAAAAAAAAAGAATGAAATTATGGCGTTTGCCAGTAAATGGATGGAAATGGATACTATCATGATAAGTGAAATAAGCCAAACTCAGAAACTTACAGTATGCAGAAACTAGAGTAAAATAAAAGAAAGGGGAGGGAAGGGTAGGATAATAAAAAGTACCAATCAAATATAAATTAATAGATGAGCAAGAAGAAGTCTACTAGAGGAAGAAGAATGGGAGAAAGAAGAGAAGATGGGAGAGAAAAAGGAGAGGGGAAGGGGGGACCACAAACTTAATTCCATTTCCATGCATGTATGAGTTTGTTGGGATGAACCCAACTACCACGTATAACCATAAAGAAAGATGATGATGATGATAGATAGATAGGTAGATAGATAGATAGAAAGAAAGAAAGTAGATAGACAGACAGACAACCATTTCGGGGAGTACTTTGGCAATTTATATGGAGGTTGAAGATGGTCGGATATGTCACAGGGAAGACGTGACAGATACGTCTGTTGCCTGGTTTGGGAAAGGATTGTAGGCCCCCACCTATCTCCCAGCTTCACGCCCTCCTGCCCTGAAGATGGGAAAGATTTCTGTGTCCTAGTTCTGATCATGTGATTGTGTTCAGTGAATAGAACCTAAGTAGACATAAGCACTACTTGTGTGGACATACATATTGGAAGCTTTTTTCTGCCTTCCTATCCTTTGACTTTTGTCATAGGAAGAGTGTGAACCAGACAAAAGTTGTTTTCCATACCCACTGCAACAATTTCTTTTTTTTTTATTGGTTGTTCAAAACATTACAAAGCTCTTGACATATCATATTTCATACATTAGATTCAAGTTGGTTATGAACTCCCAATTTTACCCCAAATACAGATTGCAGAATCACATCGGTTACACATCCACATTTTTACATAATGCCCTATTAGTAACTGTTGTATTCTGCTACCTTTCCTATCCTCTACTATCCCCCCTCCCCTCCCCTCCCATCTTCTCTCTCTACCCCATCTACTGTAATTCATTTCTCTCCTTGTTTATTTTCTCATTCCCCTCACAACCTCTTATATGTAATTTTGTATAACAATGAGGGTCTCCCTCCATTACCATGCAATTTCCCTTTTCTCTCCCTTTCCCTCCCACCTCATGTCTCTGTTCAATGTTAATCTTTTCTTCCTGCTCTTCCTCCCTGCTCTGTTCTTAGTTGCTCTCATTATATCAAAGAAGACATTTGGTATTTGTTTTTTAGGGATTGGCTAGCTTCACTAAGCATAATCTGCTCTAGTGCCATCCATTTCCCTGCAAATTCCATGATTTTGTCATTTTTTAGTGCTGCGTAATACTCCATGGTGTATAAATGCCACATTTTTTTTTATCCATTCATCTATTGAAGGGCATCTGGGTTGGTTCCACAGTCTAGCAATTGTGAATTGTGCTGCTATGAACATCGATGTGGCAGTATCCCTGTAGTACGCTCTTTTAAGGTCTTCAGGGAATAGTCCGAGAAGGGGAATAGCTGGGTCAAATGGTGGTTCCATTCCCAGCTTTCCCGGGAATCTCCATACTGCTTTCCAAATTGGCCGCACCAGTTTGCAGTCCCACCAGCAATGTACAAGAGTACCCTTTTCCCCACATCCTTGCCAGCACTTGTTGTTGTTTGACTTCAATAAAACAACTTCTTAGAATTCCTGAAGTGATTTTATGCATAGAGACTTGTGGTGAGGGATTTCTTTCTTACATGTAAGGACAATGAAAACAAAGTGCTAAATCACCACACAAATATTTTTATTATTTAAATGTTTATAAATTACAAGATTTTAATTATGAATGAAAACATTTCTGGAAAATGTAACATTTCATATTAATGTTTGTTACTGGTTTAAGGCACATAGTGCATAATACTTCTTTTCTGATACAGAGATCCCCAAATGTTTATTTAACCATATTGGCACAAAATTGCTTTAGCACCTTACATGGTACAATATATCCTTCATAAATGTTTGGGGAAAAAACACTTTGTGGGTAAAATGAGTACACCAGTATCTTGTAAAATTCTGTTAGTGGATTCTGTTTATTTTATTTTATTTTATTTTATTTTGGTTTACAGAGTAGGTTGTCATAGATAAATATTATTAGTAACCTGTCTTTTTAAGTTACATTATTACATAATACACAATTCTAAATTATTCACATAAAATACCATAATGCCCAAGAATTTGACTCTAAACAGTTAATTTTTATACTGCCCTTTATTTTCTGACATTAAGAAACCTCCAATACAAAATAACTTGACATTTCTTATAAAATTTGGTGTCTTAAAATATAATTTTACTTTTACCAAAATAAGATCTTTAAACTTTCAAGAATTTCTACTTTTCTATTTGGTTAATAAAATATAGTACATAACTTTGAAAAAATAGATTTTTAAAGACTAGATATATAACATATACAAGGGTTATAAAGGCATAAGAGTATATAAACAGTTTAAAAAGAACATGTTGCTCTTATAAGTACAATTGAATTAGAGGTAGGTTTTAAAAATCAAATTCTAATATATCATATCTTCTCTATTATACCCACAAAATTTTATGTTTAGTATTTAACCCAAACACAAATTCTTAGCACAAAATTTGTACCACATTTTTAGGACTTTTTTTTTCCATTGAAGCACCATAATCCCCAATTAAAATTAAAGGAAAAATAAAACAAGGTGTCTTATCTGTATCAGCAGAAAGTATAGTGGCTATGTACTTCTTTGATATAACTATTTATTTGATATTCACCTGACAGTTTTAATAATGTTTATAGTAGTTTTGTATACATTTTCCCGAATTTAAACTTATTCCATTTTAAGAAATAGAATAAAAACCTCATTGTACAATAGGATATTGAAGAGGTTTACATATATGTTTAACAGTATGACATAATTGTGGTCCAGTGTAAGCTGTTAACAGCACCGTTGTCTGGCATAATTCATCACACATGCTTGGATTCCCTATCATAAATTATGTTCTTCGAAGTGATCCTGATGCATATATCTGTTCGTTTTGAAAGCCTTGAAAAACTCAAGTGATTTGAATCCATGATGAGCACCTTGAATAAAAGACAGATATACTGGACATGGAAATCGCAGGAAGAGAGAAATAAAGAAATAAGCACCAATTGTTTGCATGTTCCAGAAAAATCTCTCCCCATTGGGGCATACTTCCTACTTCTGAATGTTCATATCACTTGAATTGGGAGCCCAGTAGTCATGTGAGGAACACACTTTCCACAGAACCCTCCACATCTACCATAGACTTTGGTTCCATCCTGAAAATAGGAAGAGACAGAAGTACAGGAGAATATTATACAAGTTGGTATCCATGTGCACAAAGCAGAATATAGAAATGTTTTGTATCATGTCACTGAACTCATTAGTTAAGGTGTCTAACAACTGCCTTTGATATAAAAAATCAGGTCATTTCAATATTAGTTCAAATTGGTGGTCATGGCAAAGCTTAAATTAGATAACCTAAGATTCTGAAAGTTATATTAGATAATAAGATTCATTTTAGCTACTTGATGATTGTAAACCACAAAATAGACACTTCATCACAATTCATATATTTTTCACCAAGGTATCTGCATCATTGAGTCATTAAAGCCTTTCCCAATTTTCTATCCAATTGTTACATAATTTTATATAAGATTCTCTTAAGTTAATTAAAAGATATTATACAATATTGACCTTAAAGGTAAAGAATTCATATTCTACCCTTTTACTGCCTCATGAAGCATTGCCATGGAGAAAAGCACAGAAGGTGATGAAATGGAGGGGGGAAAGCTGGGCTGAGAGCAGTAATCACAATTAGAGAAGAACTAGAAAGAGATGCTTGAGTAGAGTAGTTCAACGAGTGGGTGAGGTAGGCGGGGATGGGTCTAAGCAGAAGGTCCTCTCAGATGACTCTGTCTTCAGGACCCAAAGTCAAAAGACTAAAGACGTTTTTGTAGAATGAGACAAAAATAGATCGAACTCCTTTCATTTCTTAGGGAGGTAAGTTTTTGTTGTTGTTTTTAGTCTAGGTAGGAAAGGAAGAGTAGAGAAGGCAATTTTTGGTTCTTGGAACACATTGAAATGGAAATTGCTAGAGACCAGGTGTTTTAAAGTTGCCTTTCCTTTCAAAGGAAAGTAAGCAGAGAGCGAATGACTGTGAAACCTCAATTTTGTATACTTCTCTATTTCCAAGCAGATTGTTGAAGTAAAAACTTAATCTTGATTGAATTTACTGGCTAAAGAAAATATGTTTGCATTTCCATAAGTATATTTGGGTTTGATAAGGTTCGATTTTATACCAGGCCTGGGATTTCAAAAAAGGCTTTTATGTGGAACATTTTGATTGAAGTACTTCTCCATAAATTAAATAAAAAACAATCTTTAGACAAAAAGTTAAATAGGAACAAAATGAATGATTTTACTAAATATTTACATCTTCTGATGACTTCAGCCAGGATTCCAGTCTTTACGTTTAACCAAAAGATATCTAAAAGCTGCCTACAAGGTTAGAAAATTTCATTGAGCTCTCTACATTTATACTGCTCAGGATATACCTTAAATAAGTAATTAATTTTTCCTATTCTTTTGCCCAAAAGGATTAAACCTAAATATGCTGAATAAATGATTTAAAATAGTCATTTTTGAAAGCCTACTATATTACCCATAAAAGAAAAATAATAAACAATTAAATTATTTAATTATTAATTAAAACATAATTTTAGAGTCTTCAGAAATAAAATATTTTAAAGGTTATATGTGAGAATATTGCATTTCATATTCAAATAATATTCATATAAATAAAATATAACAGAAGTCACTTTTATTAAAATAAATAGAGTAAGCACGATTTGTTTCTGGTAAAGATTACATGCAAAATGGTGAAAACACTCATAACCTAGATCCAGATTCCCTGTGGGTGGAGCCAAGTTACCCAAGGCACTGTAAGTACTGGAAGGCATCTCTTGAAATGTACATGTTATTATACTTACCAGCTAAAAATTAAGTGGATTCTACTTTGCTTAGTACTTGTGCTATTGTTCAAATAACTATGAAAATAAATTATAAAAATAGTTACAGCTACATGCAGAAGTACTATATAATTTTACTTATATAGTTAAAATAACAGTGTTATCTATATAAAGATGGGGAAATATGAGTAAGACATAAATACTCCTTATTCTTGAAATCACTGTGAAGGATATTTGTTAGATGACAAATGGCTTCAACACTTCATCACTAAATCAAAGCAGTGAAGTAAATAAACCAAAAATTTACCCTCACTTTGAAATATTAAACACTATAAATATCTAATAATTAAAGTGGAATTAAGACCACTATCTCTGACTGCAGTATCTGCATGTGAAGTCATGATCTTCAAGCCTGAGAAAGACAAAGTCTGCATGTCCTCACATTTGGTACTTCATGTTAAGATATCTATACCCTGTGTATGGATGAATTTTTTGTGTGTGTGAAACCTACAGTTGTACCGCAATAAAAATGAACCCAATTTCACTTTATAAATGGATGTTGTACCCCATTGTATGTCATATACTCACTATATACAACAACTCTCCAGTCATTAGCTCCATGAAATTTAAATTTGAGGTAGAGGACCTTTACTGCTGCTTTGCAGCAAAGAAATAGCTCCCACAGGCTCTTTGGTTGAGCAGGACTTACTTGGGATCTGTGTATTGTGACAGAGGCATACCTCCCCTGAGCAAGCCACTTCGCTGTGCTGGATATCTTCATCCCAGTTCCTGCCAAGTTAATGCTGAACTGTCCCTGGATTGTAAACAAAGCAAAACAAAAATAGATGGATTCATAAACTATTTAACAATGTTCTGTTCTGGAAACATCAAATGACTCAAATTACTTTTTCCAAGGGTCTTCTTTTATAAAACGAAAAATATTGATGCAACTTTATTGTCTTGAAAATGAGCCAGTTAAGGATCTTAAAAAATTGATTACCAGTGTCTTCTCAATTACAAATGATGACAAAATTAATACCATAGTGTTTCTTTGCTGAAGTTCAACCCCACATAGGATTCTACAGCTCGACAAGCAGAGCTAATGGCTCTGTAGCAGTTGGCAAGTCCCGACAGAGAGTTATCCACGGGGACTATCAATTGCTAGACTTCAGTACTCCTCTTGTTTCAGTTCCTTCCTTTCCTCTCTCCCTCCCTCCCTTCCTTCTTCCCTCCCTCCCTCCTTCCTTCCTTCCTTCCTTCCTTCCTTCCTTCCTTCCTTCCTTCCTTCCCCTGCTCCTTTAGTCGCTTAGGACCTCTATAAAAAGCTGAGGCTGGCTTTGCACTTGTACTAACTCCTCTTGCCTCCATCTCTGGAGTTTCTGGGATTACAGGTGTGTGCACCACACCTAGCTCCTATTTCAGTTTTTGATTTCTCATCGCAAATTCTTGGATGTTACAACTGTTTCATGTATTTTCTGGAACCTACTTTCCTTTTTATGCTAAGAATATTACTTCTTTACCTACCACACAAAACTACTGAATGTGGGATTTTCATCTTGGCCATTATGTCCATTTTAAGTTCCCAGAAGGGTACCTGAATATGTGATGCCCATATTAGACCATTGTGTGGGTCCCCTAGTGGCTTTGTGACATTATTATTTTCTAATACAGAGATCATTTTATGTCGAAATATTTCAAACTATCTTTGTTAAAAAACTTCAAATAACTGTGTGAAAAAGATAGACACTAAAATGAGTAACATCTTATTTACATTATCTTAATTCATCCAACTACCAATATTCAGTATTCATGAAAATTCAGAGAAATACTAAGGCATTCTTAGATCATGTCATAATATTCCAATGGCCTAAATCTCACAAATCTTGAGCAAGACTGTAATGGAATATTGAAGTTTACATTATGTGAATGAGAATATGATCTTGTCATGAAAGTTAAGGCTAAATAAACATTATATACATTTATAATAAAACATTAATATTGATAAACCAATTAAATATTAGTTTATTAATTTAAATTTCTTCACAGACCTATATTATATATCTCATTTAAAAATGAAACAGATTCAAATACATTTATAGTACAATGACACAAAATGGAGAATTTTTATAGCAGAAATAATCAATTTTAGACAAATTCCAAAGATTTATTAAGTACAACATCATTTGGTTATGAAATTTAGCATATGACTTATCTGTTTGCTTCATTTCTATATCCCCAGAGCAGGACCTAGGTATTTAATAGTGATTCTGAATGAAAGAATTAGATGCAGCATTATAAATATTAAATAATAGCAACATAAAAGCAAATATATAAACACACATATAGACCCATCAGACTTCATCCTGATAGATGACCCTAATACTAGACACAGGAGCATTTTAGGTTGTAGATATTTGAATTTGAAGAGCTAACTCCTAGGATAGATTATACTATCTGGTACTTAATCTGACATAGGTTTTGCACTGGTTACCTACGGACCCCATTCTCTCACAGACAGACTTCTCACTAAATAAAATTCTTCAACAATGGAGATGTATTCAGTGATGTTGGGGTGCTGTAACCAGGTAATTGCTGAGGGCCATACAGCGTTAACACACCTGACACTCATTCCACACTTCCATCATTCTCTACCTCCTTGCTCATGAGGCCTGGAAGCATCCAAATGCTCACACACTGGAACGGAAAGGAGAAAGTCCCAACTGACTGCTTAGAGAATTAGGGGGTCTTTAATCATTGGTCTAGAAATATCTACTACTCCATTTCTGTGGACTCATTTTCATGAGCTTTACTTCTGTTCTTAGTCATTTAAAAAACTACATGCTACAATCTCAAAAAAATAATTGAATAATTTATTTGAAATTTGGGATGATGTTGACAGAGCTAAAAATACATTATATCCATTTGTTCAAAATAAGTTGAATGGTAGACAAGTGTCAAGTAGTGTAAGAGTTCAAAGTTCTCACTTTAAATCTGGTAAGTGAAAGAGCATAAATATATAAATGTAATGCAGTGTAGAGAATTACAGGTGCTGTAAGAAGGTAGTGGGACATTCCCATGGAACTCCAGAAGTAATATTTGAGTGAATAATATTAATTACTTCAATTACAATACTTTATTTAAGATTAAAAGTTGAGCCTCTTTAAGCATGATCTTTAACCAAAAAAAAAAAAAAAAGTTCTGCCTGGGAGTTGCTAAATATATATGCTATTTTAAAATAGATCTTATTGTGCGTATTTAAAGTATACAACATGACACTGCATGGTACATATAGATAGTAAAAAGGTTACTATAGTGAAGCAAATTAACATATCCATCATCTCTCATAACTACCCTTTTTTGCTTTTGTTTTTGTAGCAAGAGCAACTAAAGTCACCTCATTGAGAATGAATCCTGAATACAGTTTGAGCTATTACCTATAAGACTTAAGCTGAACATCAGATCACTAGACCTGTTCACCTTCCATATCTGCTACTTGTACTTTTGGCCCCTGCCTACCCATCTCCTCTCAACCCCCACCATTCGTGATAACCACTCCTTTGTTCTCTGTGTAACTGAATTTTTGTTTAGATCCATATATAAATAAAGTCATACTGTATTTTTTTCTTTCTAGATCAAGATTGTTTCATTTAGCTTAATGCCCTCCAGGATCTTCCCCACTGTAGAATACAGGTAGATCCTCATTCTTATTCTTATTCTTTTTTTTTTTTTTGGCATCTATCTATCATTTATCTTGCAGTTTCTTTATCCACTCATTCACTAATGAACACTTAAGTTGTTTCCATGTCTTGGTTGTTTTTTTACAGGACCGGTGATTTCATTTTCTTTCAGGATGTGTCCAGAAGAAGAATTGCTAGAACATATGACAGTTATACTTTTAATTTCTGTTGTACTTTTAATTTCTTTAAAAAATTCCATACTACTTTAGATAATGGCTGAATCAATATACATTCCCACCCAAAGTGTCAGAGCTCCCTTTTTTTCTATACTTTCACTGACATTTGTTGTCTTTTGACTTTTTTGGAGGTAATGGGGATTGAATCCAGGGTTTTACATGTAATACACAAGTACTCTACCACTTAGCTATATCCATAATCTTTAAAAAATATTTCATTTGGAGACAAGGTCTCCTCATAAGTTGCCCTAGCTAGTCTCAAACTTGTGATCCTTCTTGTCTCAGCCTCCCAAGTAGCTGGGACTCTATAGGCTTCTCCTATTGTACCTAGTTTTATTTTTTTTAAATATTTGTTTTAAATATTTATTTTTTATATGTAGTTGGACACCATACCTTTATTTAGTTTATGTATTTTTATGTGGTACTGAGGATCAAACCCAGGGCCTCATACATGCTAGGCGAGCGCGCTACTACTGAGCCACAACCCCAGCCCCCAAGCTTTATTTTTTAACAATGCTAACATAACAGTTGTGAAGTGATATTTCCTAGTAGTGTTGATTTGTATTTCCCTAATGATTGGTAATGCTGAGCTCCTTTTCATATGATTGTTGGTGATTCATATGTATTCTTTTGAGAACTGTCTGTTCAGATCTTTTGCTCATTTTTTAACTGCATTACTTAAACAAGTAATTACCTAAACAGCTGTTGAGTTGTACAAGTTCTTTATAAATTTTAGATATTACATTTTGTTTTATTGATTGTTCCCTTTACTGTGCAGAAGCTTTTTGGTTTGACAAAGTCCCATTGATTCTATGGCCTGAGATAATGTCTAGCTTTTCGTGTTCTAAAAGTTTTATAGCTTCTGGTCTTACATTACATTAAGGTATTTTATATATTCTGAGTTTATTTTGTGTATGGTGTAAGATAAGGGTCCAATTTCCTTTTTTCACTTGTGCAAAAACAGACTTTCTGTATCACTTATTGAGAACCCTATCCTTCCCCTTCGTGTCTTCTTATTTCCCTTGTCAAAATTTGTTGACAGTATATGTTTAGATGTATTTTGGGACTCTCTTTATTCTGTCCTACTGGTCTATGTGTCCGTTTTTATACTAGTACTATACTGTTTTGAATATTATCATTTTGTAATAGAATTTTAAATCAAGAATGTGATATATCCTGTTTTGGTTTTCTTCTCAGAACTGTTCTAACTATTCTGTCTTTCCTTTTTCTATACAAATTTCAAAAATTTTGTTTTCTCTTTCTGTGGGAATGCCATTGGCATTTTGATAGGGACTGTGTTGAATCTGTATATTGCTTTAAGGAGCATAGATATTTCACTACTAATATTTCTTCGAGTCTTTGAGCACAGGACATTTCTTCCCTTTCTTTGTGTCTGTATCAATTTCTTTCATCAGTGTCTTATGATATTCAAGGACGAGATCTTTACCCTCATTGGTTAAGTTTATTCATATGTTTTTTGAGTTTTCTTTGATGCTACTGTAAATGAAATTATTTTCTTGATTTCTTTTTCAATTAGTTCAATATTTGTGAATAAAAATGCTACTGACTTTTCCAGGTTAATTTTGTATCCTCTAACTTAACTGAATTTACTTATTGGTTATAACAGTTTGCGTGTGTGTGTATGCATGCAGAATTTTTGAAGTTTTTTATTATACAAAATTAGGCAATCAATAAATAAAGACAGTTTTATTTCTTCCTTTCCAATTTGGACCTCTCTTTTTTTCCCTTGTTTTATTGCAAACCACAACAACAGAGAATGGAGCAGTGTTTGCTAAGAGTTAGGTGGGAGGAGCTGTCTAAGTCTAAAAGGGAAGTAGGAAGAAGATATTTGAGGTAAGAGTACTGTACTGTATTCTGATTATGGTAATGCTAACATGAAT